GCAAAGTTTCAATCCATTTGGATAAACCCTCGAAGAAAAAAGTGACAAAATTGATTTTGACTAGGGTCGCCCCTAGTCCAAAATTGAAAATGTATTTCATACTTGGTTCTTTGCTCAAAAAAATTTTAAGATGTTTTATTTGTATTTGTTTTAAGCATTAGAATATTTATGCAAAGTTTCAATCCATTTGGATAAACCCTCGAAGAAAAAAGTGACAAAATTGATTTTGACTAGGGTCGCCCCTAGTTCAAAATTGAAAATGTATTTCCTTCTTGGTTCTTTGCTCAAAAAAATTTAGGATGTTTTATTTGTATTTGTTTTAAGCACTAGAATATTTATGCAAAGTTTCAATCCATTTGGATAAACCATCGAAGAAAAAAGTGACAAAATTGATTTTGACTAGGGTCGCCCCTAATCCAAAATTGAAAATGTATTTCCTACTTGTTTCTTTGCTCAAAAAAATTTTAGAATGTTTTATTTGTATTTGATTTAAGCACTAGAATATTTTTGCAAAGTTTCAATCCATTTGTATAAACCCTCGAAGAAAAAAAGTGAAAAAATTGATTTTGACTAGGGTCGCCCCTAGTCCAAAATTGAAAATGTATTTCCTACTTGGTTCTTTGCTCAAAAAAATTTTAAGATGTTTTATTTGTATTTAATTTAAGCATTAGAATATTTATGCAAAGTTTCAATCCATTTGGATAAACCCTCGAAGAAAAAGTGATAAAATTGATTTTGACTAGGGTCGCCCCTAGTCCAAAATTGAAAATGTATTTCCTACTTGGTTCTTTGCTCAAAAAAATTTTAAGATGTTTTATTTGTATTTAATTTAAGCATTAGAATATTTATGCAAAGTTTCAATCCATTTGGATAAACCCTCGAAGAAAAAGTGATAAAATTGATTTTGACTAGGGTCGCCCCTAGTCCAAAATTGAAAATGTATTTCCTACTTGGTTCTTTGCTCAAAAAAATTTTAGGATGTTTTATTTGTATTTGTTTTAAGCACTAGAATATTTTTGCAAAGTTTTAATCCATTTGGATAAACCCTCGAAGAAAAAAAGTGACAAAATTGATTTTGACTAGGGTCGTCCCTAGTCCAAAATTGAAAATGTATTTCCTACTTGGTTCATTAGCCAAAAAAATTTTAAGATGTTTTAATTGTATTTGTTTAATGCATTAGAATATTTATGAAAAGTTTTAATCCATTTGTATAACCCCTCGAAGAAAAAAGTGACAAAATTGATTTTGACTAGGGTCGCCCCTAGTCCAAAATTGAAAATGTATTTCCTACTTGGTTCTTTGCTCAAAAAAATTTTAGGATGTTTTATTTGTATTTGATTTAAGCACTAGAATATTTTTGCAAAGTTTCAATCCATTTGTGTAACCCCCGAAGAAAAAAGTGACAAAATTGATTTTGACTAGGGTCGCCCCTAGTCCAAAATTGAAAATGTATTTCCTTCTTGGTTCTTTGCTCAAAAAAATTTTAGGATGTTTTATTTGTATTCGTTTTAAGCACTAGAATATTTATGAAAAGTTTCAATCCATTTGTATAACCCCTCGAAGAAAAAAGTGACAAAATTGATTTTGACTAGGGTCGCCCCTAGTCCAAAATTGAAAATGTATTTCCTACTTGGTTCATTAGCCAAAAAAATTTTAAGATGTTTTATTTGTATTTGTTTAATGCATTAGAATATTTATGAAAAGTTTTAATCCATTTGTATAACCCCTCGAAGAAAAAAGTGACAAAATTGATTTTGACTAGGGTCGCCCCTAGTCTAAAATTGAAAATGTATTTCCTACTTGGTTCTTTGCTCAAAAACATTTTAAGATGTTTTATTTGTATTTGTTATAAGCACTAGAATATTTATGCAAAGTTTTTATTCTTTTGGATAAACCCTCGAAGACAAAATTGACAAAATTGATTTTGACTAGGGTCACCCCTAGTCCAAAATTGAAAATGTATTTCCTACTTGGTTCTTTGCTCAAAAAAATTTTAGGGTGTTTTATTTGTATTTGTTTTAAGCATTAGAACATTTGTGCAAAGTTTCAATCCATTTGGATAAACCCTCGAAGAAAAAGTGACAAAATTGATTTTGACTAGGGTCGCCCCTAGTTCAAAATTGAAAATGTATTTCCTTCTTGGTTCTTTGCTCAAAAAAATTTTAGGATGTTTTATTTGTATTTGTTTTAAGCACTAGAATATTTTTGCAAAGTTTCAATCCATTTGTATAATCCCCGAAGAAAAAAGTGACAAAATTGATTTTGACTAGGGTCGCCCCTAGTTCAAAATTGAAAATGTATTTTCTTCTTGGTTCTTTGCTCAAAAAAATTTTAGGATGTTTTATTTGTATTTGATTTAAGCATTAGAATATTTATGCAAAGTTTCAATCCATTTGGATAAACCCTCGAAGAGAAAGTAACAAAATTGATTTTGACTAGGGTCGCCCCTAGTTCAAAATTGAAAATGTATTTCCTTCTTGGTTCTTTGCTCAAAAAAATTTAAGGATGTTTTATTTGTATTTGTTTTAAGCACTAGAATATTTTTGTAAAGTTTCAATCCATTTGTATAACCCCCGAAGAAAAAAGTGACAAAATTGATTTTGGACTAGGGTCGCCCCTAGTCCAAAATTGAAAATGTATTTCCTTCTTGGTTCTTTGCTCATAAAAATTTTAGGATGTTTTATTTGTATTTGTTTTAAACACTAGAATATTAATGAAAAGTTTTAATCCATTTGTATAACCCCTCGAAGAAAAAAGTGACAAAATTGATTTTGACTAGGGTCGCCCCTAGTTCAAAATTGAAAATGTATTTCCTTCTTGGTTCTTTGCTCAAAAAAATTTTAAGATGTTTTAATTGTATTTGTTTAATGCATTAGAATATTTATGAAAAGTTTTAATCCATTTGTATAACCCCTCGAAGAAAAAAGTGACAAAATTGATTTTGACTAGGGTCGCCCCTAGTCCAAAATTGAAAATGTATTTCCTACTTGGTTCTTTGCTCAAAAAAATTTTAGGATGTTTTATTTGTATTTGATTTAAGCATTAATATATTTATGCAAAGTTTCAATCCATTTGGATAAACCCTCGAAGAAAAAAAGTGACAAAATTGATTTTGACTAGGGTCGCCCCTAGTCCAAAATTGAAAATGTATTTCCTTCTTGGCTCTTTGCTCAAAAAAATTTTAGGATGTTTTATTTGTATTTGTTTAAAGCATTAGAATATTTATGCAAAGTTTCAATCCATTTGGATAAATTCTCGAAGAAAAAAAGTGACAAAATTGATTTTGACTAGGGTCGCCCCTAGTCCAAAATTGAAAATGTATTTCCTTCTTGGCTCTTTGCTCAAAAAAATTTTAGGATGTTTTATTTGTATTTGTTTAAAGCATTAGAATATTTATGCAAAGTTTCAATCCATTTGGATAAACCCTCGAAGAAAAAAAGTGACAAAATTGATTTTGACTAGGGTCGCCCCTAGTCCAAAATTGAAAATGTATTTCCTTCTTGGCTCTTTGCTCAAAAAAATTTTAGGATGTTTTATTTGTATTTGTTTAAAGCATTAGAATATTTATGCAAAGTTTCAATCCATTTGGATAAATTCTCGAAGAAAAAAGTGACAAAATTGATTTTGACTAGGGTCGTCCCTAGTCCAAAATTGAAAATTGATTTTCTATGGTGTACTTTGGTCAAAAAAAATTTTTGGATGTTTTATTTGAATTGACATATTTCTGACATAAACCACATACAAATATTACTTTTTGTAATGCATAGCTTAAAAAAATCGAAATCTAAAATTTCGACTACCCCATCTGAATTTTGTTCATACTCTTCACTGTGGAAACCAAAAAACAAATTCTTTATCTTAAAACACTTGACAAAATAGCGACATAATTCAGGATTAATTACTTTTTAATAATATTTTAACATTTCCGAGAAAATGTGGTTCAAATAAGTGTGAAGTATGGCCGAGATTTGGACCAAAATCAGCTATACTGGTTCATAGTGTTCCCGAGAGTGACAAAATTCAAACTTAGTGTTTTTGTAGCTGACATAATTATAACATAAATTAGGTATAACTTTTGATGGTCTATCCATAAGACTTTTGATGGTACGGTGTGAATATATCCGCATTGGGTTTCTCCCCGATACACTAGTTTTATAAAGTATTTATTTTCTACTTTTTAGTTTTAAAAAATTATTTTAAGTATCTATCGATCAACTGTGCTATCGCACAGCATAAGTTTGTAAACTAGAATTTAACCATTGAAAGTCTTCATTGATCAGCTGTGCTATCGCACAGCATACGTTTGTAAACTAGAATTGAACCATAGAAAGTTGTATAACGTATTTTTTTGTGATTCAAACTTACAACGGCTTTTTGAAATTTATAATAAATGAAAGTTGTACATATGTTATGTAAAAATAAGCTAAGCCTTAAAGAGGAGAAAATTTAATTTAATTTTACTATAATTAAGCATTTTTGAGTTTCCAAAACGCTTGAATATTGTATTGTCACCGGAAAAATAAGTGCATGCAAAATTTCAGCTCGATTGGAGCAGTAGAAGTGGTCGAAAAATCGATTACAAGATTTGACCTCAACAGATAAGAAAGCAAGTTAAGAAAAACGTGGTAAACAAGTTAAGAAAAACGTGGTAAAAATGTAAAGCATTGATGCAGATATTTAATATTCTTCTTTAACGACTTCTTCCGCATTTTGGATATCGAATCAGAATTAAGTAGATGAAAAATCCCCAAACATTTGCATATCAACAATTACAGCTATGGTAATAATGCACAAGAATAGCGTATCAGTTTTTTGGGGTTATTATACTTTAGTGTCAAATTGTTATTTCCTCAAAAACAGCACGTCATTTAATTTCCGAAATAGAAAAATCTGGTTTTAAGTTTTGACAGCAACTTTTTTTTACTTTTATTTCAACTTATTTTATTATAAATCTAAATAACTTAAAATCCTTATTGAGCACAAATTGGCTCTTATCACATTTAAATATCAGGAAACAGTTCATCAAATGAAGCTTGCTTAATTATCTCATTTCCAGCTTTAGTAAATAAATCACCCAGTGACTTCTCGAGTGTTGGAGTTAAATCGTTCACGAAAAATCCTGAACTTTCAGAAATAAAAGTATTTGCCAAGAACTTAAGAGCTGGATTGTCTTCAAAGAGATTTTGAAGCTGAAGTTTGCTAGTTCCTGGCATGATCTTGAGTTGAATCTTTTCGAACTTGATGTACGTTAGTCCATCTTCACCAATGTATTTCTTTGCATGGAGTCTCACTCTTGCTCTGTAGTTTTCTGTGTAAAATAAATTTATTTTAATGTTAGACTCGCTTAAGTTCCAATTATAAGTTTGAATTGCTTTACCTGCAATTCCGATCATATCTCCACGATTATCAACAGGAAGAGCGCCAATAACAGCTTTCAAATCATATTTGCCTTTAAACTCGAGTCTCGGAAGTGATATAAGGAAGTCAAACATTGGCTCTCCTAAATCAACTCTGTTAAAAATGCAGGAAGAGTTTTTGTTTAGTTGAAAAGATTGAATTTCATAATATTTTGATTTTCTCATTTGACAACAATATTTATCGCAATAATGGATTACCATTTCGTCAGACAGAAATAGAGAGATAAGAAATGTTAACAAATCATATGCTTTGAGGCTAGTCTAATTATGCTTAAAATATATCAATTTGATTCAAAGATGCAGGAGTAGTACAAATCAATGTCGAGAAAGATTGAACTTATAGCTCCCTACACAATTCACTAAACTCACCTCATTTTATCAATCTTAAATTTGCTAGCTCCACGAACTACGACAAGATTTGAAATGTGCACTTGGAAATTCGGTCCACGGTCAATGTGAATGCTATAAAATGTATCATAAAAAAGTTTGAATAAAATTAGCAAAAATACAGCTATTTTATGATAATAATCTATTACTTTTCCAGCTTTAATGGTTCAAGGGGCTTCATATAACAATTCAAATGTCACGCGAAATGAAAGAGAAATAAAAGAAATCATTTTTAAAAACTTCAAAATCTTTATAAATTTTTTTTCTTACCGTAAGTTTAAAATCAGGCGAGAGGTTTCCATCTGCTAGTCTAGGCTGTAAATTTCGAATACTATCAATGATGCATTTCGCAACATTTGGATCATTTCTGCTGCACAACTTAATGCCGTTTGCTATTAATATAAACAGATTTGCAAGATGATATTTCAAGAGAAATAAAGTATGATGAAAGCATGAATGAATAAAAATACTTACGTAATTTTCCATCACAATGATTGGCCACAGCACTTAACACAATAAATACACTTAGGATAAAATAAAGATTCATATTGAAAAATCACAAGTTACTGATTCTGTGAAAATATTTCTTAAACTGAGAATACAAGACAAACTAATTCTACTTTTATACTTATTAGTCTATCAGGACATTGCAAGATGTTTACCTTAAACCTCTTGTTTTCAACAATCAACATTCTAGCTCATTTTGGTTTGATCGTGTTTGTTGTGGACAATAAAAAGATATTCAGTTTTACTATAAAAGTTGATTCTGATTTTTACCGGAAAACCACACATCTATCCATCTTTATTACTTATTTTGTATTAATTATAATTATTCACAATTTTGTCTGAAGCTATCGAAACCGGCTAGTTTTTTGGAATATCCACTGTCTGATTAGTCATCAGATCATACCGGAAAGATCTCATTATATGTTGCTGTCTTAGCAATTCTATTTGCAATTGATGTAAATATCTCAGACAAATCATTCTCGATTGGTGGATAAATTTCACTAAATACAAACTCTGGTTGTGAACGAAGGAGTGTATTCAAAATTTCTTGGAAAATGGATGAGGCTCCTAATTGACCTCCGAAAATGTTACTTAATGTTGCTTTTCTGATGTGACCAATTTGTATTTTGATGTGGAACTTCTCAAAGTTTAAGTACTCTTCTCCTTCATGAATATATTTCTTCGCTCTAATTGAGAGTCTTCCTCGAGAATTATCAATTATAGTGTGTGAATCTCCCTGTCCTTTTAATCTAAATCCAAAAAGATTAAAGTTGAGGTCATACTTTGATTTAATATCCATTCGAGGAAGTTTAACTAAGGCATCAAATTTTAATTCACGCATATTTGTTTTCAATTTTTCAATTATGAATTTACTGCCTCCTTTTACGTAGATATCTGTAAAATTGGCCCTGAAGTCATTACGATCTCCGACTTGTATGCTAGATAAAGAAAAAGAAAAAATTCGGAAATCTTTAAATTCTCAAATAAACGTTTGTTGCAGGAAGGAAGTATCATGTGTAGATGAATAACCAGTCAGATTCCATACTAGTTTTTGATAAGATCACTGACCACACTCAACAAGAATGTTTTTTTGATCACTCATCAAAATTTGAATTCAGTGTCTTCTAAGCTTTTAAATATATCAGATCGTATATGGCTGAACTCGTAGTAAGAATTATTTTGTCTGATGATTTATTTTAATTTTTTTTTGGAAGTAACACAAGTTTCACACTTTATTTCACTAAAAACTAAGACATTCATCAAAAAATTGTAAAGGTTATTATATTAAAATGTTTTACAATTTTCAGATAAGTGTTTGAGTCTTGATCTCACTGTTTTACTTACCTGGGCAAATAAAATGGTTCTAATCTTGGTATAGCTTCATAACCAGGACCGAAATCTCCAGTTGCAAGGATATGACGCATACTCTCGATAGAATTCATGATGCAGTTGGCCATATTTGGAGTTTTTCTAGGACACACCTTAATGTAAGGAGCTGTGAGTGTTTAAAGGAAGATATTGCAATTATAAATTTTATCACACTAAAGCCAAAGAGCTTTATGATAATTGGAAACAACTTTTTAAAGATTTATCTATTGAGGACAGAACTACATTGATGCAATTTAGAGTAAGTGACATCTGAAAATCCTATAGCAGCTATGTCTAAAATCTAAAAACCTTTTTAGCACCAGGATAAAGGATGCAACATAATTCTGTCCTCAAGAAGTCTTATTTACGTAGATATCCTGTGACATTTGTGTATTCGATGAACGAAAATATTAAAGTTACTAGCCAAATTCGATGCATTATTTTATACTTTTAAAAACTAAGGTTAAATAAAATATTCCAAACTGCCGTTTTGTGCAAATCAGACCCACTTCTCCTCTCAAAATTCAAATCAAAACTGAGGTTCATTTAAAACTTAATATGGATTTTATATTCACAATATCAGTGTGACCATGAAAATGGCTTTTTTACATCTTAAAAAGATGTCCCGAGTTACATCATTCCTTTTTGAAGGTTAATTAGCGATTTAACATGAACACAAAGGAAATTTTTCGGCAGATTCTAGATACAGCATTAGATAATCTTAAATTTCAGAATATTCAAGCTTAGATTAGCACAAAAATTTCAATTTTTCATTTGATAATCTTTAATGTTAAGGTCAAATTTGCACAACTTAGCCCATCCTAATGCTTTTCGCTTGTTACACATATTAGCAACGCAGACAAAACATAAAACTATGACGTCTCATGATTCATTTAGGGTGTATCTCATTTCTCTTTCAGATGAAACCAGATTGACTTCTTTCATTTCAAAGCTAACATAGCTATTGTTTTGTATCTGCGACGTCAATTAATCATCTAATCTAGTGTGAAGGTTGTTCGGTGACAAAATTTTGAAATAATTTGCAAGCTTTTTTTTTGCTGAGAATATCATTTTTTATGATTTTGAACGACTTTAAATCGAGAAATGTTGGTCAAATGTTATTTCTGATGATTTGGACGCAAGTTTCGTTGTTTGAAAGGATATTAAGTGCTTGACTTAATCCTAGAACTAGATTTAATCAAACTAAGAAAGATTCTTAAACTAGCCCGAATGGCACAAGTTGGTTAATCGAATAGAAATCCGGTGCCTAGCCGGTATGACTCTGGCATGGTGCTGGATTCGATTTAAATCCAGCACCTTGCAAGAGTCACAACAGCTTGGTGCCGGATTTCTGATTAATTAACCGACTTGTGCCATTCGGGTAGGAAAGCATTAAAATAAAATTCGTTTAATTCCTTTTGTGGATATTACATGAAACATTAAGTATAGCCACGCATCAACTATTTTTTTTCCAAATGTTGTGAAATACAATTTAAAAAGTTTTCCATCCATCCAGCAGTTCACGTGCATCGGTTAATTTTTCTTACACATTTTTATTTTTTTGTCAAAAATTATATTCAAAAGCAAAACGAGAATGTAAAAATAAACTGATTTTCGAGTATTGAGAGAATAAAAATCGGAAAAAAGTTCTCTGAGTGGACGTGGATGTAGTGTGTACAAATAGATGTGCACATTTTTCATTATACTTAGATCGCTCCATGCAGCGTACGAGACGATTTATACGTCACATCAAATACTCGTAAGTAATTCTTTATCGCAATAGTGAGATAAGTGTCTATCGACTGATAACTATCAATTTCGTAAATCGCAGGTATTCTGTTAAGTTCTTGATCATAAATTAACTCAACAAAAAAACTTTAATTTTTTTTTCTCAGCAAATTAACTGGTATTTCAAGGTCATATCAATCATGCTGTATTTGGTTCTAATTCTTGCCATCATCTACTTGATATACAAATGGGGAACAAATACTTTCGATTACTTTGAAAAGAGAGGTATTAAGTATAACAAGCCGTTGTTCCTTGTTGGTTCTCGATTGAGTATTCTTTTGAAGAACTCAAGTATGGTCGACTCTGTTCAGAAGACTTATAAAGAGTTTAGAAATGAGAAGTAAGTAATAATTTGTTGATTAAGAACCGATTTCTTTGAATACAAACATAACTGTGCCCAAAACACTAAATGGGTACATAGATGGTTAGAAGAAACCGGCACCATCTGTAATTTCGCATATAATGATCAAATAACATCAACATTCTATTTATAGAATCTCGGGAATGTTTGAGTTTAAGCACCCAACTTATTTTATTCGAGATCCCGACATCATTAAACGTTTAGCCATTAAAGAATTTGACCATTTTACGGATCATCGTCTTGTTCTTGACGAAGAAGTTGAACCTCTCTTTGCTAAGGGATTATTTGGTTTAACTGGACAGAAATGGAAAGGTAAGAAGAAAATTAGATAATCAATCAAGAGATACGTAAATATATGTAGACCTTGACCTTTAAAACTTGCTTCTCTTAGGGGCTGTTCACTTATTACGTAACGCGAAAAAATGACTTCTTAGACCCCCCCCCTCGTAACAAAATGTGTATGAAAAAAAAATTTCCTTGTTTGAACCGTAACAAAATCTTAGACCCCCCCCCCCCCATCCCCCTAAAAGCATTACGTAATAAGTGAATGGCCCCTTATGTCAAAATAAAAATAATAAAAAACATCAAATCACTCCATAATTGCAGACATGCGAGCAACTTTATCGCCGGCTTTTACAGGTAAATATTGTTTCTCATTAAAATTCACATTTTTATTCAAATTAAACAGCTAATGTGTGAGAAAATGCTAACTTCTAGTGATCATCTAAAATAAGTGTTATTTAATGATATCATACACTTGAGTCTAAATAGGTAGTAAAATGCGCTTGATGTTTAACCTAATGAATAAAGTTGGGTCACAGATGACAGCTTCAATCAGAAATCAAATCGACAGTGGAAAGAATAACGAAGTTGAATTCAAGGAATTCGCGAGAAATTTTACTTTAGATATTATTGCTACTTGCGCTTTTGGAATTGAGGTAAAAAAATACTAAATAAAAGTAGATTTGCTAATTTTCAAAACTATCAACACCAGGTCAATTCTTTTGAACATCCAGACAACGAATTCATTAAGATCGCTAGAAAAGCCACAAACTTTGGTGACATTCCAATTTATAAATTCATTGGCTTCTTTTTATTCCCCAAATTGATGGCAAAGCTCAACATTAAATTCCTTGATAAGGATTTATATGTATTTTTTGACGAAGTGTTGTCGGATACGATTCAGCAACGAGAGAAAAAAGGAATAGTCCGAAATGACATGATTGATCTTTTACTGCAAGCTAAAAAAGGAAGCCTAACTCATGATGAAAGTCAAGAAGAAACGTTGTCAAACATTGGTTTTGCAACAGTTGAGGAATCAGACATTGGAAAACACAAAGTCAAAAGAACTTGGACTGACGAAGATTTAATGGCTCAGGCTTTCATTTTCTTCTTTGCCGGCTTCGAGACTGTGTCAACTGTCATGACCTTTATGGCCTACGAATTACTACTTAATCCTGATGTCCAAACAAAATTACAGAAGGAAATCGATGAAGTCTACAAATCACTTGGTGGAAAGGAATTGACATATGAGCATGTACAGGGTATGAAGTATATGGATATGGTTGTGTCTGAGACATTGAGAAAATGGCCAGCTGCTCCAGTTGTCGATAGAAATTGCACAAAACCTTTTACTTTGGAATATGATGATAAAAAAATTGATTTTGAAATTGGAAGAAACTTTTATGTGCCTATTTATGCTATTCATCATGATCCACTTTACTATGAGAACCCAGAGAAATTCGACCCTGAACGATTCAGTGATGAGAATAAGGATAAAATTGCTAATGTTCTCTACGCTCCATTCGGTATAGGTCCAAGGTCTGAAATAGCTTAATAATCATTGACCGATTGTAATCTAATGTTAATCTCTGAATTTTCTTTAAACAGAAATTGCATTGGAAGCAGATTTGCTCTTCTGGAAGTCAAAACAATTTTCTACTATTTATTGTTGAACTTCAGCTTCGAGGCAACCAGCAAGACAAAAATTCCAATTCAGTTTGTTAAGATTCCTTCAATCTTCCAGATTGAAGGTGGTTTGGACATTGCATTGGCTCCAAGATCAAAGTAAATTGAATGTTAAAGTAAATTAAAATTTTATTCCTATAAAGATGATAATAATTATGAAAATTAAAGCTTATTGCTGTTGTTATATGGCTTGGAAACGTCAAATTTTATTTTATAAAGAAAGTTCAAGTTCAATTTCAAATTCAACTTTAACTTCAAGTTTGGTTTATTTTTCAAACTATTGTTAAGAAAATGTAAGTTTTTGAATCTATTTTATGGAAAGACGCGCAAAAACTTCAAAATTTTAAATAAAGCCAATAAAGCTATGATTATTCGAAAATATCGTGTGAACTTCTATCATTTATTAAAAAGCCATGGATATTATATGACAAATCATACAACACTTAATTTTGTTTGTTCTATAAATGCCATTATTTACATGCTTATCATCTATAAAAAGAAAACTATGACTAATGTTTTTCTACAATTTTGTTAAGGGGCCATTCACTTATTACGTAACGCTTTTAGGGGGAGGGGGGTCTAAGATTTTGTTACGGTTCAAACAAGGAATTTTTTTTTTCATACAAATTTTGTTACGAGGGGGGGGGGGGTCTAAGAAGTCATTTTTTCGCGTTACGTAATAAGTGAACAGCCCCTAACAGTATCAACTGATGAGATATAAAGAAAGCCTGTTTGCCGCAATAAAAATTAATCTCTAGAATGGCAAATGTTCTCTTAATACTCGACCATATGATGAACATGAAAAAATTGTGAGAATTGAGAGAAAAAACTCTCAAAAATGGACACACATGGAGTTTATAGAAATTACTTGCATTTTCTTCTTTCGCAGTCTATTTATTTTGGTTCACGCAAAAAGCAGTTTTTTGGTCTCACCAATTTATTTTGATAAAATCTATACGTAATTTTTAGGAACCTTCAAAATTACTTCAGGACTGATATAAAGTTGATTCTTAAATTTTTATCAGCAAATCATCCGAAATTTCAAGGTCAATTCAATCATGCTTTTTTGGATTCTACTTCTTATTGTCGCCTACTTAATTTATAAATGGGGAACCAACACTTTTGACTACTTTGAAAAAAGAGGGATTCCTTACAACAAACCATTGTTCCTTGTTGGTTCGAGGTTGAGTGTAATTTTAAAAAATTGTGATATTATAGAGAACGTTCAGCAACTTTACAAAGAGTTTAGGAATGACAAGTAAATTACTACGCAATTTTTAAAATTGATGAAAAACATAAAGAATTTATTTTTAGAATCTCGGGAATGTTTGAGTATAAGCATCCAGTGTATTTTATTCGTGATCCGGAGATCATCAAAAAATTGACTATTAAAGAATTCGAACACTTTACTGATCATCGTCTTGTGATAGATGAAAATGTTGAACCATTATTTGCTAAAGGTTTATTTGGGCTTACTGGACAGAAATGGAAAGGTATTAGAAAGTTTGAATGTCTAATTCTAAAATTTTATCAAAAATGTAATTGTAGACATGCGAGCAACCTTATCACCGGCATTCACAGGTGATTACTGTTTACGAAATTTCTTATCAATGATATTTTTTGTCTAAATTCGTCAGTATTAATGTCTTGCTGACTAAGGTGTCCTACATTCTTGTTATTCATTATTCTTTACATCAACAGGTAGTAAAATGCGCTTAATGTTCAACCTAATGAACCAAGTAGGGTCTCAGATGACATCAACAATCAGAGACCAAATAAATGAAGGAATCAGCAATGAAGTTGAGTTTAAAGATTTTGCTAAGAAATTTACTCTTGACATTATCGCCACATGTGCATTTGGAATTGAAGTCAACTCCTTTAAACACCCAGATAATGACTTTTTTAAAATTGGTGGAAAAGCTACAAATTTTGCCAATATACCAATTTATAAATTAGTTCTATTCTTCTTACTTCCGGATTTGATGGCAAAACTAAGAATCAAACTACTAGACAATGATTTATATGAATTTTTGGATGTAACTATGACAGATACATTCAGTGAACGAGAGAAAAGGGGTATAGTCCGCAACGATATCATAGATCTGCTACTTCAAGCTAAGAAAGGAAATTTAACTCACGATGAGGATCAGGAAATTTCAAATGAATCTTTTGCCGCTGTTGAAGAATCTGACATTGGAAAACACAAAGTTAAAAGAAATTGGACAGATGAGGAATTACTGGCTCAATGTTTTGGTTTCTTCTTTGCAGGATTCGAGACTGTTTCTACGGTAATGACTTTATTAGCCTATGAATTGCTTCTGAATCCCGAAGTTCAGACTAAGTTGCAACATGAAATTGATAAAGTGGCTCAATCATTGAATGGTAAGGAATTGACCTATGAGCGTGTTCAAAGTATGAAGTACATGGACATGGTTGTGTCAGAAACGTTAAGGAAGTGGCCACCCGCACCTCTTGTTGACAGAAAATGCACAAAACCTTTCACTTTGGAATATGATGACGGTAAAAAGCTAGATTTTGAAATCGGAAGGAACTTTTATTTTCCAATTTATGCTATTCATCATGATCCTGTCTACTACCCAAATCCAGAAAAATTCAACCCTGAAAGATTCAGCGATGAAAATAAAGATAAACTTTCTAATGTTCTCTACTCTCCTTTTGGTATAGGACCAAGGTATAGATTTATCTCGATAATATCATTCAATTTTCAAATTACATATTCGTTACAGAAGCTGCATTGGAAGTAGATTTGCAATTTTGGAGGTAAAAACAATTTTCTACTATTTATTGCTGAACTTTAACTTTGAAGCAACAAGCAAAACGAAGGTTCCATTGAAGTTTGTCAAAGTTCCTACAATATTTGTGATAGACGGTGGATTGGATGTAAAATTGGTGCCAAGAACTTCATGATGTGATGCACAAAAGGGACGAGGACCTTTTGTTTTAGTACGAAGGATATTTAGCATTTATTCTTATTAACGAATTTACGATAGAATCTGTTTATGAGTCTAGCATGCAGAAACGCGCATTATAGTTTGTATAAACATAAAATCCTTTTACAGTCCTCGATGTAATTTTACAGTATTTAAATAACTTTTATGTCACATAATTATACACAGCTTTAATTACCATCCATAAACTTTAAAATGGCTTTATATTACAGTTTATTATTTTTTAATAAATTAGCATAAAAATGCAGCAACTCATCCTCAAAACCTTAGTATAACATTTGAAACTCGATAGACAAGTTCAAGCTTCTAATTCAATTCTCATTAATAGAACTATAGCAACTTAGTCACAAATGATTCTCAATTACATGTTCATTCTACTCATATTGTGCATTACAAGTTGTTCAGCAAGCGAAGAAGCTGAGAATGCAGAATTAATGAAAGCAATTAAGATCATCATCAGTGACGTCTATATTACACATTCCATATCAATAAATGTGATCTTTTTAAGTAAAACTTCGTGGAATGATAGCATCTTGTCTAGAAATGAGTTTTTTAATTATCTCAATAGTGAGCTCATTCCAAGATACACATCATTAGACAATGATGACTGACAAAAAGCATCTGATATGATAATCATGACTGATTCTCTCGAATATTCTTTGTCAATATTGAAATATCAATTAACTGTGACAATTCGATGGTTTATTATTGTGCTTAGTCATTGTGAAAAGACATCAGTTAGAGAATTGGATATGCAAAGTGCTTTGTTGGTTGAATTGCTTTGTTACAACAATAAAAGTTCGATTATGATGTGTGTGACGCCTAATTGGTACAGAAAATTTAGATATGTAATCTCTAAAATCCAGAATAAGTATGTAAATTTGGACATCAAAAGCTTAAGAACGTTCAAATCTAAAATTCCAAAGAGTTGTTCAATGACTGCATCAGCAATAATCAGACCACCTTTTGTTTACTATAAAAGCTCTAAAAATTTAACAGGAATTGATGTCAGAATTCTACATGAACTAGCATTAAGCCTTAACTTAGATCTTCAAATATTTGCTTTTAATACCTCAAATTTTACAAGCAACGAATTTGATGTACATGTAGGATATCCACTTCAGTACAGTAAATCAATTAGTAAATCTTATGATTTTCATGAACTCGTGTATGTTGTTGCGCCAGGAAAACGAATTTCGTCGCTACAAAAGCTCTTTCAAGCTTTCGATGGAAAAATATGGATTTTAATATGTCTAATAATCTTAATGGCTTTTATGTCGACTTATGCTATGAATATGCAATCTCATGTAATTAGAAAATTTGTTTTTGGAAGAAATGCACAATTAAAATTCATGAATGTGCTTGGTGGATTATTGGGAACGTCATCACATCAGTTGACATCTAAGAGAAATTTCCTACGAGTTTTATGGATTGCTTTTCTATTTTTTGGAGTTTTAATGAGAACGTTGCATCAAGCAACGCTTTTTAAACTACTTCAGAATGATAACTGTGAGAATGAAGTTCAGTCGTTAGATGAAGCTATAGAGAAGAATATTACTGTGTATACTGATGTGATTTACAAGGATTTTGTCAATCAATCGATTAGGTAAAAGTTTTTGATTAACTTATATGAGAACTTAAGCTTATTTTTCTTCAATTTTCAGAATTAAGTATAAAAGCCAGCGTGAAATTCATTCAATCATCACGAAGTCATTTGATTCTGATTTTCTTGAGATTATCTTCCTACCGTCAGCACAAATGAATTTTTTTAAACATAGCAGCAGCCAACTCAAACGTTTCAAGATCATTGAGCATCCTCGCATAGTCATTCCATCAGTTTTTCACTTTTCAGATCAATTTCACTTCGCAGATGAGATTGATGAGAAAATTGGTATGTTTCAATCTGCTGGCTTAATAAAGTTTTGGACTGATTTAGAGATGCATCATATCCACAAAGTTAATGAAATTGTAGTACCGAAAAAATTGACATTTAAGCACGTACAAATTCTCTTTGACATTTTAATTGTCGGACACTCTTTATCTTTTATGTTTTTCATTTTGGAGCTGATTTATAAAAGATTTGTGGGACAGAAAACAGTTCGTGAAATGACTGCTGTTAGATTCATTAGAAGAAAATCTTATCCTTAAAATTGCATGCTTATTAATGTCAAAGTTGCTATTTTATTAATTAAAACTATACATGAATTATACACAGTCAGATTGATCGATATAAACACATCTAGGCTAAATTATTTTCGGTTTTGTTCATTTTTGAATATACAAATGTTTGCATAAAGTTTGTTATGCTGCTGTACGTTTTCTACAACTTTCGAGAATTTGTTCATTGTCAGGATACATATTTTACACATTAATATGTGCTTTTTACGATCCTTAGAAAGCTAGAAAATTAAATATTAAATTATTAGACGATTCGCTATCGAAATTAAGTGCTTACCTTTGAACCAAAGCATTTGTAGAAATTTTCTAATAAGACAGCGTTTTCTGGCTTATTTAAGGAAATAAATTTACCTTTACGGTTGTTTGACAAGCAGATTCGACATACATCAAATGTGTATGCCATTGTTCTATTGGATATACATTTAATTAAATTAAATCTTTGTTTACCGTGTAAGCTTTGGGCGATTCTCCAGAAGAATTGAATTTTTCAAAAGTGAATTGTAATTCTTCTTTTACTTGACACTTTAAATTTGAGAAAACCGTTAAAAAATATCTGTTTCAAACGATTTTTTCCGGTTCTGTGGTCAATTGTAGGTTGAAAATTTAGTTTATATGCATTTTAATGATTATTATAAGATATAGTTTAGATCATTAACATTTTTGTGCCAAATAAACTACTGAAAGTTTTAAAATCTAACGGTTTTTATCAAATTTTAAATTTTTCGTTGAGCAGATTTTCCCCTATAAAGCGTTTGCGTTGCTCGGCAACATTGAATTTTGTTCGAAGAATCGATTTTTCTCTTAATTAAAGCATTAAATCAAAGATGTGTTATTTAAATATGATAAAACTAAAGACGATCTACCATTTAGTATGTATTAAGTGCAATAAAAATAATTCTTTGATAGTAATTTTTTGATTCTTCGTAATTGAATTCCATTTTTGGTTGCCGAGCAACGCTTAAAAAAATTGAAAAAACTAATGCACAATGATTCAGAATCGAAAAAAATGTTCAAAAATTCAAAAATTTCATGTTAATTAAACTTTGCCTTTTAAATGCCAGATAAAAGATCTTTCCTTTGTGCATATCCTTTAAAAATATCTCGTTCCTATTTGCTGTCTAACTCCAGAAATCATTAATTTAATCTCACCCAAAATTTGTTTACAATTTGAGTATGAAAAAAGAAATGTGATTTTTTCTACTTTAAGTTGTTATTTGGATGTCTTGAAAGCAGTTGCTAGCTAATTTAAGCTTAGCTCTACATATTAAAACAACCAACTCAATAGAAATCTGCTTATTAAGCCTTAAAAATGGAATTGAAATCTGAGTATTTTTACAAAACTTAAACTATTCATAAGTTAAAAAGTCTTCCAAAGACCTCTCTGAAACCTATATAAATCAATTAAATAAGCTTTAATCTATCTCCCATATTACTGAGGACATGCCGTTTGATGCCGTTTTCGAGATATTTGCGATCAAAGTTTACATAAAATTTCATACAAAGTTTGATCATGCACAATATTTTTTGATAAACTTTTACAAACTTTTGATAAAAAAACATGTTTATCCTTTATATTAAGGACTGATTTTTTGAGCAATGAACGAAAATATTATGTAGAAGATGCTAAAAGAATCAAATCAAAAGAAATCAACAAAAACTTTCAATTTTCTAATGTGTCAGAAAAATATTGTGCACAAGGAATTTTTGAACATTTTTTCCGAATCTGAATCATTGTGCAATGATTTAAGCTTAATTATGAATTCTAAATGACTTTAAGAGATAGAATTTGGAAAAATACATCTGTTTTAATTAAGAACAAACATGCTTTATTGGGAAAATTTAAAGAAAAATCAATTTGAAAGTGACTTTTGGCTGATTTCCCCGCTGGAGAATCGCCCCTTTACACTATTTTTAAACGGTTGAAAATTAATGTTTTTATTCTACACTGTAAAAGTTTGACAATTTAAAAGACAATTTTCAAAAAAAATATTTCTAACCGACATGCCTTAATAAAATTTATAGGAGGTTAATTTATTTGAGATTCCATTCCTAATTAAAACCTTGGAAAAATCAATAAAATGCAAATAAAACACGAGCTTTTTTAATAAAGCCACATTATTTCATTATTCTTAATATTATTCTTACAGAGACTTTAAGCAATAAAAGTATAAAAAATCAATATTGAAACCTGTCATTACCGTTAACGCAAATTTCAATTGAACCTTTCTCGTTTGTGATCTTAATTTTCTAGTCGAATTGCTTTCTGAGTATTTTCAGTGAATGTCAAGACATTGTATGCCTGTATAACTGACATTTTGCCTTTTTTATATTAAATTGAAATTAAAATGACTTTAAGGATAAATATCAAGTTTTCAAGTTACTTACTTGGAATCGAAGAACACTTTAAGCACTTCAGTATTAGTAGGCTTGACTTACAGAACCCTCAACACATTTTTTCCAGCCTCTTACTTCTAGAAATGCGCACAATGCAAAAGATAGTAAAAAGATACAAAACCATTGACTTATTTCCTTTAATTTTCTTTCCATTTTCACTTTTTTATTACTACTGATTGTGTCGATGAATATAAAAATTATCATTTTCATAAATTACAAAGCAATTATCATTACAAGGAAATTATTTTTATGGATTCATTTTTTTTCATTCTTCTTCCTCTTCTTCTTCTTCCACAACGCGTCGTGCTGTTGGACGACTGGGACGTCTCCTTGATGCAGGAGTACCCTTCTTTTTAATTCTTGGTGTTGTTGTTTTGGGATTTTCTAGCTCCTCTAATTGCTCATCTGTGAGTCTATCTTTATAAAAGTCCGAGCTGCAAAGCATAAAATTTTATTATTCATTATGTTAAGCAAATATTTATTGATTTTGATTCGAGTCTCACCATTCGGGTACATTTCGAGGCCAGTCGCATGATTTTGTTGCTTCATTAAAGACTTGACCCAATTTACACCCATTTCTACGTGCTGTGTCTCCGTTTATGCATACATAAAAGTATTGGCAGTCTTCTGGATCTGAATATCTTGGATGCGTTACAGCAATAGATTCGTTGACCTTTGGACATGAGAATTGGAAGACTTCTACAATGGACATAAAATGTATTAACAAACATTAGACTTTAATCGAAAAAATTCCAAGAAAATACCTTCAGATGAACAACCAGTTCGGCCCGCCTCATCAGCCCATGTACAAATTCCAGTCTTTGGATTGAAGACAAGACCAGCAGGGCATGTATACATATTATCATGACCACCAACACAATAAAAGAATTTATCGCAAATATGCGCATCTGCATGACCGAAATATCCATTCTGTCTTGGACAATTGTTGGAAGGAATTGGCGTCTCTATAATAAATTATACAGCATATTTCATACATTAAAATGGTAAACAAAAAAAAAACAGCTTCAGGTTGATAAAAGAGGCAACTCACGTAACTTTGAGCGCTTTGAACAGTCAATATTGTATGGTAAATCACATTTTTCCACATTTATGTCATAATCGTTGAACACCATTCCATCGGGACACAGTCTTTCCTCGATTGCTCTGCAATTGAAAGGATAGATGTAATGATGTCATAGGAGCCAACTAAAAATTCAATCCTACCCATCTGTGCATGCATAATATTTATCGCATTGATCAGCATCAGCGAAGAATCCAGAAGGCTCAGGGCATTCGCTTGCTGTACCATCATCATCCTCGTCATCGATAACTGGTGGCTTTGTTGTTCGCTGTGTTGGTTTCTCACGATTTTTCGGCCGTTCACGTCGTGGTATTTGCGAGACAACGAGACCTAGTGATATAAATAAATTTTTAAAGCGACATTAAAATAAAATTTATACTTAATTTATGTAAATTTTTCTTGGCATTTATTTCATGTGAAGACGACGACAGTTTGAGATATTTTTTTGACTATTCATTTTATAAAAGCATTTACAGATCGATCTCCGATTTCGTACTTTAATTTTGATTTCATGATCTTAAAGACAAAATCATAAATCCACGACATATTATAATAACTAAACTGACACCTTGTCAGTTATTTCTTTTTGATTTCATACGAAATTATGGGAAATGTCAAGAGCTTTTAACCTTCAGAAAATAATGATGTCCTCACACTTCCCATTTCTTGTTGTTTTTCATAACTTTTTATTTTCATGCCATAGATGAAAAATAAGAATGTGGTGACGATGGATTACCGGTAAAGCATGACTCAATGATTTATGATTTTTCCTGTTTCCTGTTTTCTTTTCATTGGAATATGTGTCTTAACCCGATTAGCTCATAAAAATAGGTTAGGTTTCTCGAGGTTGGTTTAACAAAAAATAACGCTAATTCAAATTTTAAAGCTTCACAATCTCAAATTTTTCTCACTTCGAAAAGTTTTTCTCAAAATAAACAAAGATTTCGAATGACTTTTACTGATTATTGGCTATTATTAGAATTTTCAAAGTGGCATGAATCATAGCAATTTAATTTTGAAGTCACTTAATGAAGTTTTAGTGTTTTAAAGTTTGTATTATGCATTTCACTGCTTTTAAGAAAACACACAACATCCAGCTATGTGCTTCCCGGTTAAAAAAACCTGCAATGTCTTCCTATATATCATCGAATAGAATATGAAAGTAGGAGACGTTAAATGTGTATTATGAAATGATTGACCTTGTTAAGGTTATGCTATGCATTCTGAAGTTACACTAAGTAATTCAAATTCAACATGAAGACAATTGTAGACAGATGAAAATGTAATGTAGCATTATTACAGTCATTTGTTATGGAAATTGCAATGAGTTCATGATTGACTTATGTTTTTGTCATGAATCTTCCAATGAATTGAAATCTCTTAATTGAATTAAGGTATTTTGTTGCACATTGTATGACTTGGAGGTGATTCAAGTGTAAATTTAGTATTTATAAACTTTCTGTAAACTTCAGATTTCAGAAGTAAGAAGAATCTCAATTTTCAAGACCTGATGTGCTAAATCACCCATCAATCAATTATATCAGATACAGTTGAAAACACCTTACTCCTTTAAAGGAACCCATCAGAAGTCTTATAAAACTTTTCTAATGAATTTCCTTCATTCTTATCAGCTCATGTCAGAATTATAATTTTCTGTCATATTTGCCTTAAGATATACCTTTTCAATTCTCCTTAATGTCTACATAAAGTTATAATTTCTCTATGGACTTCAGCTATGGCATGCACATATATCATTTGCTTGTAAGCATGTAGTCGAGAAGTCAGTTGAAATTCCTCAATAGATTTTGTACAATAGATGATTCAGACCTATCCTATTGTCTTGTCGTTCGATAAATTGTGTATTAAATTTATTTTCAATCTAATCGAGAATGCAGGTACAATATTGTCCAGGGTTGTTAGATGGAAGGATTATAGTTACTAAAATTTGGTTTATTTTGAGTTTTTAAGCAGTTCATTTAAATTAAATTCAATGCTTTTTCTTTGCATAAGGGCTTAACATCTAAACTCCTCTCAATCATAACTGGATCATATTGTGTGATAAATTGTGTGAACATTTCCATTATTATTGTTATTACTACATATTGTTTCACTCAAATCGATCTAAATAATCCTCAAGTATATGGTTCATGTTGTACAAAAGTGATATGAATGTCGTAGGAGATGAGAGCCATATAGAATAAATTAAATTGCGGCAAAAATTCCGGAAATGATTGATTCAAATGAAAATGAGATTTAATTAAAGAATAAATTGAAATAGATGAGGTTGTATCTATTGAACTGGATATATTCTCGGAAGGAATGGAAGTATGCATGTTTGGAGATGGGAAATTAATGCATATATATTTTGTAAAAGTGCGATAATGATTAAAGAATGATTACAAAGTTCTGTATGCTGTTGTGTACATGCAAACAGCAGCATGATGCAGCCATAAATAATTCATTATGATTCACTGTAAAAATTATTTCTGACAAAGCTTAGAAGAGAAGCAAAGGAGGGAAACTGAAAGTTATGACCAAGACTATATGACGCACGAACAAAAAAAGGAGAGTGTGCATAACCTTAACTGTACATACATACACAATATGCATACTATAATTCATGTAAAAATATGATGAAGATCCTTTCTATTTTTTGTGTGAATTTTGATTTAGGATACTGCAAAATATACACGTTGGCATGTGATGTTATACAATATGACACGTAGATATACGCACACACTTCTTAAAAGTCATTTGGGATGAAATAAATTTTCAATTTATTTAGACACAAAAACTTGTTAAAATTTTTATTTAATAAAGTGTCTACATGTTTATTTATTACGTAATATAGAGTTCTCTGCCTTATAGGCCATTTGAACTTGATGGCTTTTTAACACTTTAAACCCTTCATAGAGGATGGAAATGGAAGAACAGAAATAATAGTGTTAAACATGTGATAATGAAAGTTTGAGATATTTTGTTCTTAGGGTGTTTTTGAGATTTCTGATTCATTACAGAAGCATTGGATAATTGATTGAGGTTACTTTAATGTTCATCTTTAGTAAAATTTATATCCATAATAAGAAAAAGTCAAGATGAAAATTCATAGTAATTTTCTCTTTTTCCACGCCAAAATTTTGATAAAATTTTTAATTATGATGCTTTACGATTTGAGAATCTAAAGTTATAAATATTTTGACAACATCTACCTAATTAATCAGTCAATATTAGATTAAACATGATCCAGATTAAAGTATCAGGTTACAGTATTAATCAAAGCTACACATATAAGTGCTTCAAAGTAATGATATGTGTGTCAATTAGTATGGTGTTTGCAATAAACAATTATGAAGAAAACAATTTTAATTAAATATTTCAACATTGATTCTTAGAACTAAAAAAAAAATACAACTTCTCGTAAACTTTTGAAACTTAAAACGTGGTAAGAATGATAATTTGTGTGTCTATACAATTTAAGTTAAAAATACAAAGCTTCAGGAAATTCCTTACATTTTTGGTGTTAAGAAAGAAAGGTAATCTGATATCGAGTTTGACAAACATGGATTGATGTTCGGGAAAACTTTTGAGGCTTTGGCTTGATTTTTGTGCTTAAAAAAGTTGACCATACCTTTCTTATTACGCACTTATAGTTGTTATAAAAAGTAAGGTTTATAGATTTAAGATGAGAATAATTGTTTCTAAGATTTCAATAATATTCAGTTTAGATGACTTCACATTATATTCACATTGAAATATAAAATCAATCATTTCTGATCCTTTTCTAATTTAGAATTGTAATTCTTATAATCATAGACTTAAATATCTGAGAATCTAGTTTATTAAGTTTTTTCAGAAGCCTGAAATGCAAATTCCATATCTACAGCTCAACCTTCCAAGCATCACCATAACTTCTTAATTAATCTAATTAAAGATTTTTTCCAAGCAAAGAATTTAATCAGCACATGTGTCATGCATGAACTTAGATACACAATAGTCATCCAATATGGTCATTGCATAATTAATACACAAAAAAGTCTCTTATAGAACAATTGCTAATTCATAAGCTTCATTACTTATCGATCAGGTAAGAGTCACTTTGTAGCTTGACAACATGATTTTAATAACACAACAGATAAATACAATACGTGACTGCTTTCATTGCTGTATCCATATTAATTGTAATTAAACTTGCAAAAGCAACACAAACTCTTTCATTTTAACTTTTCTTTTGTTTGTTGTGCTTTACTTAAACCCACACATGGAAATAATTTTGTTTTCAACAAATTGCTGCTAGAAATTGAAATACATGAAGCAAATAATTTTTTAATTTCAAACTTTTTTAAATGCATGCAATTTGTGGATTGTGGGGACAGGCAAAGTTTGTGGGATCTTGGGTAAGGTGCAGTTTGTTTAGTCCAATTGACAAATTAAAGTCCCTCAATAATTAGAACCTGTTCTTTAATAACAACACAATTGAGCTGTGACGCATATCCTCTGATATAAAAGTTTGAGTCTTGAGTAACTTAAGTAGAGTTAAGGTAGAGACCGATCCTTTTCAAGTTTAGGTGGATATAACTCCGCACTTGCTTTTCATTCATTACTGCGCTTTAAACAGCCATTTCAACACCCTTTTATATCAAAAAGGCCAAATTAATTTGAGAAGAAATAAAAAAAGTTACAATTTGAGTTTTTGTCTGCATTGCAGTTTCCAACTTGTACATAGAAATGAAAAAAAAAGTATTTTAGCACGGCAGAGAAAGAACAGAAAAATCTACAATCATTTGCTTCATGTGTGTACGGAAGTTGGTTATAGTGCAAACATAGAGAAAAGAACGTGTGCATGTAGATTGGAGCAAAGAGAAGAAAAAAAATACTGTGAGAGAGAAAAAGAACTAAAAATTAAAGCAACCAGTTGACCTTTGACGAAGCTGGAGTTGATAACATGAAAGCGAGTGGATATAAAAATATGGAAATTGAGTTGAGAATTTATTTTTGCGGTTTGTTGCTAAGGAACCTTGAACAAAGTCTAGAATCTAATAGAAGATAATCAAATCTTGGCCTGATTCTAGTCAGATATGTTCAGACAACCTTTATACTTCAATAACGGCTTTACCAGAACTCAAATCAACTAAAATGTAACCATAATATGTTGTAACACTAAGCCCGGGAGCTTATTTCAATTTAGCTTCTCAAATTTGTTCATAATGTTCATTTTTTATATTTAAGTAGTGTCTGCACAACCTTTATGCAATTTGCATGTTCAAAAAAATCCAAAAAAAAAAAAACAAAAATTCAAGTTCAAAAACCGCAAGTGCAGTTATTGAAGCAAACTAATCCAGTTTAAACACATTCGCCTTGTAGACACGCCTCATAAACTGAAAAATTTTACTCTTTTTTTATGCCAGTAAACACCCACATTGATTCATACACAGGAATGAACTTGAGAACTTGTTGCATGTTGCCAAATGCAGAATAAATATATAAAAAAAAAGAATTGATTTTTTTTTTGCTGTTTACTGTTAGAAAATAAGAAACTTGTTGAATTTCATTTGAAAATTATTCAACTTTCTTGTTTCTTTTTTTGCCAATAAAAACTTAATATTTTTAAAAACCGGGTTTTTTGGGCGACGACATAAAAAATGAACTAAAACGATATATTTTTATACACATTTATATCATGCTCCTGATGTAACCCGATTATGAAATTTTATCGTCTTTTCTTTTATAACTTCTTTCGTGTATCGTCTCCAGTGCGACATACAGAATGAGCGAGAGAAAAACTTTCACTTTTTTTTGTGTTTGTCGGATTATTTTCGATACTTAATAATTTATTTCAATGTTTACATAAAAAGTAAGTCTAGGGTAGGGGTTATTCACTTATGACATCTAGGAGGGTATTATTTTGAGACAGTTATGGAGGGATGAATTCTTAGAATTTCATTTTTATGGACATCATTTGTGATTGATTCAAGGGATATTAAGCTATGACTAGAATAACCATAAAAAACAATTCTGGATGGTTTGAAACTGTTACCAGAAGTTTATTGTTAAAATTGGACTGCAAATTGTAGAATCTAGGTCAGACGTTCATGATTGATTTTTATGGGATTAAATAAACTTTAAAGTTCTATTTCTAAATGTCAAAACAATCTTTATAAGTTCAGATTTGATAACCACAAATAATAAGATCTTAACCAAATTACAGCGAATATTCATCCCTTGACAATCTCAAGTAACCACTAAAATTTGTGCCACAGATTTTTAATCACGTCTAATTATTCCATTTCACTTAATAAATCTTTCATGACAAAATTTCACAAAAAAAAAAATTGAAAGGAACTAAGTTTATCTCACCGAAAAGCAAACTGAATACTAATAATTTCACAACTGCGGCTGCCATCTCCGGTGTTTGAACGCGAACTGATTGAGTGGCAAAATTGTTTAATATGTTTGCTTATTATAGTGTTTTTTTTGTTCATAAACGCTCTTTAGTTTTATGCTTAACACAAACAATGAACAGCTTATAACAGGCTTCGGGGTTCAATGTTGTGTATTAAGAGAAAGAAATAAAGAGACAGACAAGTTTACTACTAAAGTCCCAGATAGGTTGGAAATGCTTTTTGAAATGCCAGAAATATTGGACGGAAAGAGGCTGAACAAGCTATTTGGTGTCAGATTGGGTTTATTTTGAAAAGAGGGGGGTCGAAAAGCACAGCGAATGCCACCTCTAAAGCGTGGACAAATGCTACTGATGATTTATCATATATTTGAGCACTCTTGTTCTGATACTGAGGTAGATTTAAACTCAAAGTATCACAATCCGGCGTATCAATAAAATTTTATGACTAGCCAAAAAAAAGGTCCCTATATTTTAGAGTTCCTTAAATTGTAAGTTATGACTAAGGGTTTCAATTTCAATGCACAAAACTAATTCATCATATTAAAGTAAATCCAGAGACAATTCAAACTTAGAACAAAGAAAAAAGCGTGTAATATGACAAAATCGTAACCGCCATGTAGATTCTAGGAAATATAATTTGTTCTGTTATTTAATTCAAATGCTAGATGCTGCATCAAGAAGCGATTTGTAATTTTTTATAAACATGCCATTTAACAAAAAAAAAAAAAAATCACAAAATACGGGCCCGATCGGCACACATTGAAATGTTTGCCACCCACTTAGAAGCAACTTCAATATTTCAATGAATTTCGATGTGTCCCGATTGAGAATTGGGGGGAGGGGGTCGTTTCCTTATGATGTCAATTAAAAAATAAGATTTAAAGGATCCGTTTTTCCCCACAAAATCTCAGAACCGTAATAGATTGACGTAATTGGATCAAGAAACCTTCTGAGTGATCCACAAAATATTTTCAAAAAATTCGTCAAGCACCTTCAGTCTTGCTGGGTTAAATTCAATGATATTGAAAATGAAAGTAAAAACATGTGTAAGTAAGTAGATGCATAGATGGAAAGGGTAAATGAGTTTGTTTTAGTGCAAACAACAAAAAATATTGAATTAAAAGAGAGAAAGAAAAAATAAAGTAAATAAATAGACAAATATTTAACACTTATTGAGATCGTTCAATACTTTAAATGGATATTGCTTAGCAGACAGAAATAAACAGTTATGTGAGAGCAGCGAAAATACAATGCGCGTTTCGTACTTGCTTGTTGAACGAAATTTATGCAAATTTCTTTGTGAAGTTGAAAAATGATGTGTGGTATTTGTAGCTCATTTCTGTTGGATGTGTATTAATGAGTATATGCTTCGCTTTAGGGTATTGACCTTTCATTTTCTTCTTGTGCATCAGCATTTCTAGTTATTCCTTCTAGATTATCACTATTCTCGCGGTTTTGTAGTTGCATTGCATTTTAGTCTTTTGTGTTCAATGCAACATGTGAAGCTTAATTAATATCTCCTCACAGAATTCTAATTAATTCAGGGCATAGATTCTGCTTAATGTTATTTATACCGTTTGTTTCTATGTATCTAGATTTTCCAATAGACTAAGACTTGTTTGCATAATAATTGCTTGGATACAATATTGGATGCAAATTTCCATTAAATTCTTAATTTTATCAACAGTTTGAAATAAAAGGTCAGCGTTTTTAAGGGAAATTTAAACAATTGTGATGAAATGTCAGAAGTCGTTCATTAAGGATATAAAACAAATTTAAAAGCAGCTTGGTATCCAATGAAGACATAACATTAAAATGAAAACAGTAATTACATGGATCTTAAATTTAGAACATAATGGTTGTTGACGGATTGATTCTTTGTTGCATGATGCCTACTAAAAGTTTTGTTGCTTTACAAAAATTAAATAAGTTGCATAAACTTTTAAAATTAAACTTTTAAGTCCTAACTCTGTAAATCAAAAATAATTTTCGAGATAATGGAAAAACAATCAAAATATCAAGATTTCAGCTGAACTTTGGATTGTTTCAATACTGAGGGTATCAATGGATCACTATGAGTCTTAACAAATAAAGTAACGACTAGTGCATTTATAAAAGATCGCACGATTTATGAACAATCGTTCATGCTTAAAGCGACAGTAATTGTCGTCCCACTACACACAATTTTCCATCTAAACTTTCTTATCGTCAATTTTCATCGCATGTCAACCACGATGAAATATATTACAAAAAAAAAATTCACTTCAAAACTTTTCTTGCCGCTAAAACCACCGAAAAAAGTTTTCATTTCCATTTTAATAGTTTGCGAAACTTTTCATTTCTGATTAAAAATCATCTCTAAAATTAAATCCTTTTCTTCGAAAATTTTAATGGGATTTAATGAGCAAGCTTAATAACATTGAGTAAAGAAATGTGTACACGTTGGAAATAGAAGTATCGGGCTTGTGTTCTAACCGCGTAAAAATGCTTTTATCCTCATTTTCTTTCACTTTCCATTTTCCATTATCAAACCAAATGTGTGGATGTGAATAAATTATAAATTATAAACGCAATTATACTTTACAGGGTTTTGGTTTTTGTCGACAATGAGGAACAAAAATTATCATGAGAAAAAATTCCTTTTGCATCTTTAATGTTTTTAAATTTTTGTTGCGAGAAATGCTTTAAATATTTTTGAGCAGTTTATGGAACTGAATGAGGAATATGTGGTCATATTTTGACTGTATTTCTAATAAACTTGATGAGCATTTAAAAGAAATAAGCAAACTTGAAATTTGATTTGATGAAAATCCAAAGTGGAACTTGCATCTAGCTGGCACCATGCCATGTTATTAACTTTCAAATTTCACACAAGAAAGATTTATTGGATGTGATTGTAAACAGACTGACATCTTCAAAACCTTTTAAGTCAGGGCTAGCTTCTTTTCCGTTACTTGTCTATTCAAAATTAATGTCCTTGTTTTATGATGAATGGAAGCTAGTGCTGTAGGACTTGTTTCTTGTACGAGACTTCGATTTTGGAAAATTCCTTAGGTAATTCCAAGGGACAAGATTGCGTACGAGTACTTTTTTCTGCGACCTGAGTGTACTTTAACGAATTTGAACGAACTGGGTGCATCTTTAGGTATATGACCAATTTCGAAAATTTGAAAATTGAAGTTCAGGAAAACAATGCGCTTTGCTACTGAACCCTCACAACTTCTCTCACCAACACACAATTTTCCAACCGTCCTTACATTTTAAGTAATGAATTTAAATATGTTGTAAGGAACATGAGAAGTAGAATGAAAGTAAAAGTTCATGTGCGAAATATTAAAAAGCTTTCTTCATTTCACAATGTGCGGCAGGTACGGTAGGCACTTGAGGAAGAAAAAGTACATTGTGTGTCACGTATCTTTCTGTGGATGAATTTTAATATGAATTATTTACGTATGAATACTCCTTTAAGCGGCTTTTTACTCTGTCATGACGATTTTCTTATTCTTTTGGATTTTTAGCGAATTTTTTTAAGGTTAGTGTAAGCTTCAGTGAATTGTCCTTCATTCTTAATTTATTACATGATTACTTTTTAATGCAATCACGGAATGACCAAAAGTTTATGATAATAAAGAATAAATGCATGAAAAGTTAAATTAATAAATTTTAATGCAAAAGGAACCTCAAAATGCCATTATTTCTACCCCAGAAATTTTTTAACTAATGCCTTAAAAAGAATATAAGAGAAGTAAGATTAAATTTCTTTACGCATCACACAATATAAAAATCACAAAGCTATAAAAGTTACATTTATATATATAATATTCATATATGCTTTTCTATTTCTATTTTATTATTTATTATTTATTATTATGTTTGCTTTCACTCTTACAAAAGGAAAAAGCCCCCTTAAATATTACTTAAATTATTTAAGAAGGCATAAAAAACCTTTTTCGAGCAACGGAGAAATATACATAAATATGTCATATACAATGAGAACTTTAAGTTAATTATACATATTCTCTTGCAACAGCTTAAGTAAGAAGAGTTTCAGTGCAACAAGTTGCCTTTAAGAAATCTCTTATCAAAACAATTATAAAAAAAAGCTCTAATTAGTAACAGTTACTCTAGGTTTGAAAAAAATAATTGATCTAATAGTTCTACATAGAGAATAACCGCTTTCATTACATCCTCTCGGTATTTGAATATTAAGAATCTGTCATCTCAGTCTGTTTGTAAATATCACAGTGGAAAATTATCATTTTTAGTGAAAGTTAAGTAAATTAGCGTTTATCGAGCACATAATTGGAGAAAAAAGTTTTCTTTTGTTTGATGGACATTAGGATGATACTCTTCAGTCAGGATAAGTAGTTCTAGATTTGTACAAGTTCCGCTTTTTTACACCAGATGTTTTGACTAAAACTTTAATTCTCATTTCAGCTTATTTATATGTATTTACATAAAATTTCACCATTAAAGCACAGCTTCATCATGTTTTCTTGTTGGAGATGTGACCTGATAGCATATTTGAATCCTGGAAAGTGATAGCTTGCTTTAATTTCATCTGGTAGGCTGTTGAAGATTCTTGGACCGACTGCTGTTATTGCTTTCTTTGCCTTGACAGTTCTTGTAGCAGCTGGTTTCAGATAACTCTTATTGCGACTTGCCGTTCTAGCTTTTTCAAATTGTAGATTCGAGTATACAAGTCCTTTAGTGACTTTATATATATAGCTAGCAGTATTCGCAAAAAATAATCCTCTAATCGGCAGGTTGTTCTCAACTTTCTCGCAGTACATTTCAGTTCTGTTCAGAAGTCTATCCAGTTTAAAGACATTACGCAGTGCTCGGTTTTGTGTCACTTGTAATGATTTAATCGCTGTATCTGGTGCACTTCCCCATATGGTAATTAAGTAGTTCAAGTGGGACTCAATTAGTGATTTATAGATCAACTTTTTTGTGTCCTCTGGAAGACTGTTTCTCATTTTCCATAGAATTGCGGTTGCATTTGATATTTTCTTCTGAACAGATCGGATATGTGCATCCCAT